AATCACAGGTAACCTTGCGGCTGTTTATGAGACATGCTTTTCTGGGTTCAAGGGTATTCCCGGCATAAGCTCGCGACTCTTCCTAGTGGTAAGTTCAAGATGGACTCAGGGTCTAAAAGCTCAAGCGTCATCTGCGGCTCCAAGCAGAGAAAGACTTCCAACTTTGAAGCCTGAAGTTTACAAACAACCCCAACATCTTCCGGCCGCAAGTGTAGAGTCGGGAAATACTCCCTAAACCAGCCTTGGGCCATGCACCCGAAACCCTAAAAAGAAAGTGGAAACTACTATTTAGGGTCCAGGGTTTGTAGTCCACCTTAAGTAGATAGCATGGCCTGGGTATATTATAATAACATCCCCATATACCCCATACTCTATCTACTTGAGGGTGACTATACACCTTAATTAGTCCCTAAAGGTACTGCTGTCGCCGATGCAGCTCCTCTTGGATCGCGGTGCTGTCGGCGCCAGCCGCCTCCACGGAATCGTCTACACTTCGGCGGTTATGATGCACACTTTTTAGGATGCTGATCTTACCCCAATCACGGAGAATCAAATGGAAAAAGTGGAAATCAAATGGACATTGGGATTACATAGGGGTTTATAGGGAGGGTTTGATGTTTAGGGATTAGGGGTTCAAAAGAATAGGATCTCTTGCTGCAAGCTTGCGGGTGTCGTTTAATAGCGTGGCTGAGGGCTTGAAGGCCAACACAGCATGGCCCTGTAGAAGCTGGGCACCATGCCCCTGATACATTCGGCTCTGCAACAGATGCTGCGCTTACAGGGAGCGCGTGAGTTTGACCCTGCACCTACTGATGTGACTCCCCACGCCTTAATAGCAAATATTGCCATTCATGTATGCTACATCTTAATATAAGCCATAGTCCAAACTCCTAGTATCCCCCTTAATAAGCCCTAGAATACCCCCTCTAACCCCCTGTTGAGGAGTTTGGACCCTATAAACCCTAAATCTTAAATGAAGGGGGTTATAGAGATAAAGAGTATAATGGGATTGCTTACTATTTGGGGGAGGAGGTTTTCTGGCTTCTCGTCATCATGTCATGGGAGCGTCATACGGAGCTCGAGCATGATTCTGAAAGTCGTAAAGATTGACACGCATTTGCTTTTTAGGGTTAAGGGTGTATACCCTAAACCCTATATATGTGTATATATATATACATATATATATATGTATATATATATATGTATATGTATACCCTAAACCCTACACCCCGACCCCTAAACCCTAACCCCTAAACCCGAAAGGGAGTACATGCGATGGCGACCTGGCAGTGGGCAACTTTGTATGAAACCTCGGCCGCTCTAACCAAGTTTCAACATTTAGGGTTTAGGGTCTGTAAGAATGCCTAGAAAGGATACTGGTGATTCTACTTAGGGGCCTTTCTATTCCCATTATGCCACTATCGCAGGGTGGGGGGGTCCACCTAATGAATCGTTGTGAGATTCACTTGAGGTACCTTGCGCCATAGTCATACAAGGATTGCAGGACCATATCAGAATATTGTATCACTCTGTCAGCACCAGCACCAAGCGGTCTTGTATGCGAAGTCCAGGTACCGTTGCAGTACTGACTACCTAACACTTGCATCTTAACTTCGTCCTCTTCATGTTGGAATGAGGCACAGTGTATCCCAGCCCGAATCCTAAACTCAAGCAAAGGCTTTAACCCCTAAAACTTCAAACCACCATTTCTCTCAACATAGATCCCAGAACAGGTCCTAAACAACTTCGACAGCAGCCACCTTGTTGCCCCAGGTCACCACACTTCCGTCCTTGCGGATCGCTGCAAATGCGCGGCCGGTAGCTACAACCTGACATGTTTTAGGGTTTTAGGGTGTAGGGGAAGATTTGTTTCGAAGGTCAGGGGTGCTTTGTCAGCAGGTTCTTTGCGGGGATAACTTTTGTTGTTGTATGGCTGGAGGGTACAGGTAGGCGTACTAACTCCCCTGGCCCCCTAAACCCTAAACCCCAAACCGCTTTTGCTTAAGTTTGAGAATCTGAGGGGCTTAGGCTCTAGGTTTGAGTGCTTGCTCTTTTAAATAAATTATGGCGGCGCGTTGCGGATTGCATAGAGGGTGCTAGCAGGTGAGTAGTCTGGGACATTTTAGGGTTTAGGGTTTAGGGGTTTAGGGGTTTAGGGTTTTCATTGATCTGCGATGAAGAATGGAGTGCACGAATTTCGGCGTTCCGGGACTGGAGCTTCGCGCTCCAGGGCAGGATGTATGTAAGGTTTAGGGTTTAGGGTTAAGGTATTCGCCGCTGAACAATGAAGTCGAAACCAGTTTAGGACCTGCGGGGTTTTGGAGTCCTAGACACCTCCCAGGTAACATAATATAATGAAATACAGTTATCCCTATATAACCCCTATATAACCCCAACATATTATATAGACTATATGGTAGTTTCCATTTTTCCAGTATCCCTATATAACCGCGCTGCAAAACAGGAGGGCGGCTTCCTCGCTCCCAAGTTGCTTGTGAATAAGCCTACTTGGAGGGTCATTGGGACTTAGTAATAATTGAAAGAAAATGGAAGCTACAATAGATTATTAAGGGTTTAGGGCTAAGGGTCAGGGGGACTTAGTAAGTAGGTTAAAAATGGGGAATCACTAGGGTTACTATATGGGTTATAGGGGCTAGTAACCTACGTACTAGCTAAGTCCCCCTGACCCTCCAAGTAAAGCCTGACGGGAGCTTATAACCTACAAAAACTGAAACCTTCACGACATCTCTTCAATGCTGCCTGGACCTGGACACATGTGTTCTGGTTGAAAATAGCCAGCACTTACAAGTCTGCCTGAGAACTCCTCAAATCAACAGGTCCTACGCCCTCTAGTTTTCAGGATTATATTGCCTTACTATTCCCTACTAACCACTAGTAAGTTAAAGTCAAGGTATACAAAGAGATGCTGCGCCTGGTGCACGTCGATGAGCTGCTCACTCACGGCACTGCTATCACCTCTGACCGCATACGGAGGGGGTTTATCAGTTTATCGAACATTGGATCCACCAATACACCACCAAACTCAAGAGACCTTGCTCACGAAACGTCCATTTCAAAGAACCCCCCCCCCCCACCCCTTAAACTGATCAGGCCGAACTTGAAAGACATCTGCAGCATTGCTAGCTAATCCGACTTTAGCAGAAGAGGGTGATTCAATGTTTATTGGGGCAGAGAGTGTGAAGTCCTGATGATATTCACGCAGAATCCCTCTGAGACCACATGAATTTACATACGTGTGTATCAAAAACCATTTCCGGGGGGTTCCAAGCTCTCCTTCCAACCCTTTCCGGGGTTTCTAAGCTTATGCTCCCTCATTGCTGGGAATCATGATTTTGAGCTGCGGCCAGTTTTCTGATCTAGCAGCAGGGCAGGGGATTCAGTTTCAAATCTATAGGGGACACATTAAGTGCACAACGCCGTTTATTCTCATCCTCAGTCGTACAGTAGCTGGCATCAGAACTTAACTTATGAACAGCAAGCCCTGCTTAATTCTTGAGAAGGACCCTTCACGAGGACTAAACCCTAAACCCGCAACCCAAAAGCTTAAACCCTTCACGAGGATGTTCAGTAAATGTGTAAGGCCTAGGCCTTCCCAAGCTCAGGCTTCTTTTCCCAAAGCCCCCCCAAAGATAGCCCTGTTGTACATTCCTCTACCTGGACCTAAACCTCGCAAATACCCATGTTCATAGCCTCTAGCCGCAATATTAAGGTGTATAGGCCGTCATACATGAAAAGGTAGATACATGAAAAGTTATACATATATATATATACACATAAATATGGATATGTATATATATATATATATGCATACGCAGGCGAGCAGGCAGGCAGGTAGGTCAGTGTTGAGGAGCCCCTGGGAGCCCCGAAGCCGCTGCAGAAGCCTATCAGATTGCTACAGTCCGCTGGTGCCTCCACAGGTGGCCTCGCCCCATGTCACCACCTTGCTAGGGTATTAGGATTTAGGATTTAGGATCTGGGATTCAGGGTTTAGGATTTAGGGTTTAGGGTTGGACACACCACCATTGGAATATTCTTCTGATAGCACAGTAGAAGAGCATACTAACAGGAGGGTGTAATCCTACTGCTTATTGGAGACTATAGCACCCTCATTGAAAACACGGCTCGCTTGGGCTCACAACAACAGTAGCACATGTTGCAGTAGGAGTGATGTAGCAGTAGAAGCAGGTGTAGTCGTGCAAGTAGTAGCCGCAGAGGACAAAGAAATATCAGCCTCGCAGAACCGGTGATGCAGGGCCTGTTGTTAACAAAAATGTGGGGCCCTCTTTAATGTAAGCCCCCCCCCCCCCTAACAATAGGGTCCCCAGAGAAATAGAAGTTAAAGACCCTCAATAAGGGCGCCTGCAATTATTGAGGATTTCTGAGGGCCTGGGGGTCGAATTATAACAAAAAGAAATTTCTGGGGGGCTGTCGGGATTTTCGTATTGATGATGACTGAGGGTCTGAGGGTTGAATTGTAAAGGAGACTTGTGAAGAATCCTTCCTGAATTTTCACGGCTCCAAAATCAAAACACGTAATAGACCCTAAACCCTAAACCCTAAAGCACAATCATTTCCCCAGATCCATAATAACCGGGCCAAACACACACGTTATAAAGCACCTCGAAGCCAAAGAGGGTCCAACATTAGGGTTTAGGGTTTAGATCTCAAACCCCTGAAATGCCAACCTCCTGAAATATCACGTACGAGTCCGGCTTGTTCCCGCTTGGAAAGTCAGAGATCTTTTTTTATGCAGGTCGATACCGAAGATAAACGGACTTATGTCTGAACATGCTAACTAAGTTGCCCCAAACCTATAGTCCCCCTTAAGTACATAGAATACAGCTTTGGATATATTCTGATAACATCCCCATATACCCTATATTCTATCTACTTAAGTTGGACTATAAGCCCTAAACCCCAAACTCTCAACCTCAAACCCTAAACCCTAAACCTGCCTAGGTAGGCAGGTGCCAAGGTGCTGTGCCGTCGCGGCGAAGGGCCGCAAAGGCGTAGTTCGAGGCAACCACCTCCTTTCCAGTAAACCCTAAACCCTAAACCCGGGAGGTTTCTCAAGAGAGCGGGCCCTCGGGGACTCAAGGGATACATATGACCTATAGTCTAAACTCCTTAAAGGGGTTATATGGGGGATTGTATATAGTCTTGTGGGGGTCATGAGAGGGGATACTAGAAGTTTAGACTATAGCTCATGTATTTATGTAGGAGAGATTACAAGGAGAATCTAGGGAACGATTGAGGATTCTAGACGGGAGTGTTTTGAGAGACTTGCATGCGTCGTGTTAGTGGGGAATGAAGGAATGTTCCCAAGTAATTGTTACGGAGAGTATATATTTGTATATGTATATATATACATACGCACATATATATATATATATATAGATATACACATGAGCGTGTATGTGCAGTGCTCTAGGGATGCATTTCTGTATTCTCGAGTATGGAGAGGCATACAGCCTGCCAAAGCAAGTCAGAACGCAGGTTTGCTGCTGACCTTAGCTGGGATGATTTTTCGTGACTCTGGGCCGATGGAAAATCTTGGTTAGAAAACGTCCTCTGATTGACCTTGGGCCGTTTAGGGCTTCATACTGGCCTAATGAGGTTTTGATCTTCAACAATGACCACAGGAAGTCTGGAGAATAGGAACCGGCAAGGAGCGCTCCGCAATTTCAACCAACTCCTTGAAGGCAGGTGATATAGGGGATTATATAGGGGGCCATTATAGGGGTTATTAAGGGGGATACTTGGAGTTTAGAATAGAGCTCATGTCAGCGCATGGTCCTAATGCATAGCTCGCTCACGGTCCAAGCGTTGGCTTAAGGATCTCAACTTCAGAAATTGGGGGTATTTCGTTGCGACTATGACTTATTGGAAGAAACCCTGCACCACATCAAGTAAGGTATATCCAGCGAACCAGAGTAACTACTTTAGTAAGCGACACTAAGTACTAAAGGTAGCACTACTGCCGTTGATTGTGGTTTCTGTTCGTGCAACGTGTTGCTGCCATCTCTATGATGAGGTCTACCACTGTAATTACTGTTCTGAACCTTACTCTCATGATTTGCAGTATAAACTTTTCTAGCTGAAGACGAAGAAAACAGCTGCCTTGTTTCCTGTGTGGGGGGTGCAGTTGGCGAGCTCGTTGAAGGATTTGAACTACAGAGTCTAAACTGCTAGTATCCCCCTTCATAACCCCTATAATAGTCCCCTTTTTAATCCCCCTTCTATTTCCGCTTGAAGGAGTTTAGACTGTGGCTCATGTAGGCTTGGGACTGGAGATTGCGCAGTTGAGGGCTTGGGGTTACAAAGCTCCATGTCACGGGCATGACAATTCGAACGCACAGGGACAAAGCGGTTCGAGTGTTTACGAGTTTGACTGTTGGGATGCATCCTGACATCTTCCACCGTTTTTGGGGACCCAAAAAGGACCATACTGCTGACCACCCAACACATCCAAAGACACCCAAGCCTGCACGTTGCAGAGTTGGTCTTGGATGTCGTCGCTATCCCCGCCATACCTTTGCCACGGTGGTTTGGACGTCTTGGGTTTAGGGGCTTGAGTCAGGCTGATACTTCCGAGCTCCCAGACAAGCAATAATGTAGACCATGTAGAAGTTTTCTCTGATCATTCAAGACATAGAAACCTTCCAGACCAAAACCCGAACAAAAGCCCTACGATGTAAGTGCCACACAGAACTAATTCAACTTTGGGGGGGAATATTTGAATCAAAGTGCTGATGTGTTACGGCACAAAAATTGAGTTTGCACCAGCCTCATTCGCGTTAGGATTGAATAGGAGCGCGAACCGAAGGCTTCACAAACAAAAGACCGCGGCGACTCGCATAATCCTCATGCGACGTTATCCACAAGCAAGTTCCTGCAACAACCGCGAACCTTGTGCGATCGCCTCTCTGTGCTGACTCATTTTCAGCTGAAAACAACGCAGCGATCACCCAGGTCACATCGACCAAGAATCGCGACCATCAGCATCAATGAAGGATAAAAGGATAAATGCTTCTTGCTGGAGTAGACCCACCACCGAGCATGGTGCATGACTCCATCACTCTAAAAGTTTCTGGCCTGCGCTAGACGGCCCTAAACAAATCAAAGCAAGCTGTCGAAAGCCAGTCACTCATGCTAGGATACTTTGGAACGTAAAAAAAGAGAGCTCTGGAACAACGTTTCATCATTCAATGAGGATACAAACTTATGCTCAGCTGAAGCACAGAAAGCATACACACATACATCAGAGACAGGTTTTTTCGGCAATCAAACATCAGGGAGTATCCCCTGCACCCTAAACCCCTCATTGGATCTCTGAACCCAGTGGCAAGCCCAGAATAATTGGCCAAAACCATACTCTGTAAGCCGGGTGAAACCATAACCACATTGTTTAGGGTTTAGGGTTCACATGAGCCATCGTCTAAACTCCTAGTATCCCCCTTAATCGCACCTATAATCGTATCATCCCTCATACAATCACCTTCAAGGAGCTGGGAAGCATGGCTCACATGAGCACCATGCGAGTAGTCCTAGAATAGTTGTAGCAGTTGTGCTAAGCAGGCGATGGTGACCGTATTGGGGTGCCTCCACGCAATAGGCATGTCGCAGATAAAGCAAAGCCTGCGAAGGCCAGTTGTGTCACAACTACACTCAGGGCACGTGCAACGATTCTGTCTTTTTGTGACACCCACTTTGCAGTATGGTACTCGTGAAAATTAAAAACGATCGCATGTCCTGCAGCCTTAACCGTGACGACTGTGAGCATGCGCGCATACACACACGCACACCAAATCCCAAACACAAGAGCTTAGAAGGCAAACTCACGCCTTAACTGGCCTCAGAATGCTGGAGTCTTTGGGGCGCGTGGCTTAGGATCTATGATATTAATTTCGAGACACTCCAACATCGTCCATACACGGACATGAGAATCTGAAAGACCTTGCGACCACATAAACCTGTAACCCAGAGGGCTCTACCCTGCAAATCGTGGTTTCGGGTTTAGGGTTGAGGGTTTGGGGTTTATAGGGTTAAGTGCTTCAGATTTCTTAGCCCACATTACCCTAGGAAGAAAAAGGATCCTTTTTACAATAATATAAGGAATCCATTACCCCCAAAAGTATAAAGGATCTCTAACATTGATCCAGATTTAGAGTTTAGGGAGGGTCCAAATCATCAACCCCTGAAGCTTGTGGCCACCAGGCCTCTGAACCTGAACACAAGGGGCCCCGGTGTATAACTTTCAAATACACTCCAAGACCTAAATAGCAATCACAAATACAAGAAGCCCAAAACATAGGATTATTCATCTTGGACCCATACCCTACGGCTCCATGTAGGTACCAATTTCTAGGGTTTAGGCCTAATGTAGGGGATTTTTATAGACTTAGAGCCCAAGGGGTACGGAAATTAAGGACTAAACCCAGATCGTGCTGCTCAGCGAAGCCCCAGGTCTCAACGCAACCGTCGCTTCGCACCTCACTTCAGGCTTGTGTGGCCTAGGTTCCATCGGGAAGAAGGCATACACTTAGGATCCAAGGTATGTAACTGTCATACTCCCCCCAGACTCTGTAAACAACGATTGGCATTTATCAGGAACCCAGAGTATAACCCTAAACCCTAAACCTTTGCGCACACAATGTCAGTGCAGGGCTTAGGGAAGAGGGTCTTGTAGGGGCCTGAATAATTACCTTTCCACGGTTTCTGAAGGTCCCGAGCCAGCATGAGGCGTGCCACGGGCCTAAGAGATGTGTCGCCTGGTTACGCGGTCCAAGCAGCAAGGCACATGTACCCTGCATCAAAATCTATACAACAAACAAAAGCCCTCCAAAGACCTTACTGTACAATGCTCTAGCCCTCCCCGGGGAAACCGGCGCAGTCTCAGGGGGGAGGGGATGGTCATCTGAGGGCGAAGACAAACTGCTGCCTGAGACAGTCGTCCCTAGGGGACGAGTGTTTCACACGGCACATCGTCCTCTGCCCCCTCTTAGTTTCCACGCAAGCTGCCTGAATAATTACCAATATGATCTTGAGGTCTATTTGAAAACCTGGGACCCTAATGTTGGCAATGATTCATCCTCCTGATTGTGGTTGAAATTCAGGGCTTAGGGAACAAGCTATACTGTTTGGGGCTGAGAGTAAGGGTTAAGGCCTCAGGGAAAGGGAGGCGGTTCAGGGTTCGCAATACGCCACCTGCAAATGTTGAGTCCTCCTCAAGTACGTGAAAGCCTGAGCATGCTACTGAATCCGTGCGGGGATACAAAGCAACTTCAAGTCTGTTTTGGCAACCAACACCTAGGTTAACACTCAACAAAAGGTCCAGGATCCGTCAAGATCTAGTCATACGGGTCGGGAACAAGAGGATTTAATCCCATATAATCCATATGTAACATGTACCCTTATTCCCTACGAAGCCTCAGTAAGTAGTACGTAGCAGACCTAAACCCCTAAACCCTAAACCCTACCCTGAGGCTCTTGGGACTGTCCTTTGCCTTGTAGGAGAAGGTTGTGGCTGGGGGGCGGGGCCTTAGGATTGGAATCTTGCCATGGAGGTATAAGAGCTTTAAGGTACTGTTTTGGGTTGAGGGTTTACATAGAGTTCAGGGTTCAGGAGGTATAGGGGGTTTAGGGGGCTTAGAGTTTTTCAGGACACCTGAAAATACGAACCACAGACGTGCTCACAAACCCTGGAACCTAAACCTGGTTGTTTGGCAAAGATTTCAGAAGCCCAAAAGGATGACCCACAATGCGTGTTGTCTGTGTGTCTAGGTTATATCGGGATTATGTAGGGATGTATCTGGGTATATAGGGCTAATGGAGAAAGAACATGGAAACTACCTTTTTTTGGCTTCCCTCTCTCGCTCTCTCTCTGTCTCTCTCCTCTCTCTCTCGCTCTCCCTCCCTGTCTCTGTCTCTCCAGCAAGCAACATCATCGACCACCTCTAGCTTAAACCCTAAACCACAAACCGCTTCAACAAACTTCTATCAACATCTTAGCTGCCGCCGCGAAGGCGTGGATGGTGGAGGCCATCTGTGTGATCTGCAGAGAGCCCAGGCTGCAAAGTGGCTCAAGGTTCAGGGCTTCGGGTTATGGGGGTTGCATACTCGGACCCCAAAAAATCCAAAGTATGAAAATGATGGTCCTCTGGCTTGTTTTCGAGGATTGCAGGCCATCATACCTACTTCTGCGGTCCCGGTCAGGCCTACGAGGTTTAAGGTATGTTCCGGGTTTTGGGGGTTTGATGGGAGATCTCAAAACAAAGGCTTTTAAAACACCACAAGGACAGGATCCATGCAAGGATCACGAAGCGATTATGAAGAGTCCTGATGATTTATAATAGGGGAGGTGCTTGTTGACAAGCACCCACATTCCAGGTGCGGAATCTTTGGCAAGCCCAAAGCTTCAACCCCAAAGCTTCATCTCCCTTTTGCAGTATGCTATAGGGACAGCAGCCGCGAGGTTGCTATGGAGTTCCATCAATGAATAGGTGGCCCCATATAATCCCCTAAAGACTTTCTCTCCGTATGACAGGGCCTCCCGAAGAGGGAGGCAGTGATCTTTGGAACCCCCATCTACTCAATCACTGAGATGGTCAAAGGTTCTTACATCCCTTTCACGCCTGTTGATGAACATTCTTGTACCAGCGTAACATCTCTCTATGGCTCCGAATACACTTAAGTATAACTGTTGTCATTTATCTATTTTCCGTTCCCAAAATAAACATGTAGGAACCCATGTTCGCCCAAACTACCTCCTGTTTGTGTACCTGGAACAGCGGGGCTCAAATGGCCAGGGGCCGAGATTCGGGTCCAGAGGCCGCAAATCCCATATCCTAGGCCAAAAGCGCGAAACAACATAAAACTTATCAAAGCTTCAGCCCGGAAGCCTCAAACCCTAAACTCTAGATTAAGTCCTAAATCTATGAGGGCCCTAAACCCTAAGTGTTCCAAGGTTTTAGGCTTTGGGGCTTCAGGTTTTAGGGTTCAGGTATATAATACCCTAACCAAGCACCCAGACAATGGGGGCTTTAGGCCCCAAATGCCATCATCTGCATGGTATTTGGGACCTGGAGCCCTAATATTTGGGTACCTGGATCCTACAGAAATTCATTTCTGAAAATTAACGCCTCCGATAAAAGCCTCGCAACAACGCCATCTCCATGCATGAACTCCAGACATGGACCAATTACTTTGAGAACCTTTACAGGATTTAGGGTTAGTTTAGGATTTAGGGTTTTAGGTTTTTAGGGCTTAGGAAGTAAATTAGGCTCCAAGTTGTAGCGTTGTGGCTCCCTGAAGCCTAGATCCTAAACCTTTGAACGCCCAAGAAGCCAGGAGCCTAACTTTGCAGTGTGAAATTGAGCTCCCTGGGTAGGTCTGGCCCTAAACCGTTAAACTCTAAACCCCTGTACACTAAACCCCTAAACTCTAAATCCCTGAGCTCTAAAACCTAAATCCCTAACCCCCTTAACCCCAATACCCTTTAATCCCTAATTCCCTAAACCCCAAAGGCCTACATAAGAGCAGGAGCCTTGCACAAGCCGTCTTTGCCTTCCGGGCCCCAGCACACCACCGTGCCATCCTAGGTGCACAGGTCACTGGGCTTTTGTCTGGAGATGTTAGGATTTTAGAAGTGTGAGGAATTAGGGATTTTAGGATCTGCAGGGTTTAAAGGCTTCTTCAGATGTAAACAAAAAAGTCAATAGAAAAATACTATACCTCTGAAAGCGTATCTAAAACAACAAACAAAACTATAGCAAGTACATTTTGCAAGTGACATTTTTTGGGTTGCATAAATGTTGGCATGTTTGTAAAATCTTATAACTGTCTTCAACGATGGATATGATGACCAATTTGTGTCTGTCCAAGTACCTGACATCGATATTTGAGAGTTGAAGTGAAAAGTGATGTGTTTTACTATAAAAATTGTCCAAATATATTATAACCTATATCAATACGAACTAACTAAATATGTACAACAAACAAGTCACATAACATACCGATGAGTCACCTACATGTAGACTCTCCCAGACTTAGGGTTTAGGATTTAGGCCCTTCGGAACACAATCCCAACACATGCTCACGGAAGCTGTGTCACTTCAGCATTACCAAGGCAGACTGTGTGCTTCTTGTGGCGCATGGATATTCGATAGCTCAACGGATCTCACTGCTGGAAATTCCGCTGCGCCTATACTGAGTAAGTCAGAACATGAGATAGCTGGGATGATGTTTTGGCGTATCAGGGCCACTATCCTACTTCCTATAAGTCCCCCCTCAAAGTCCCGTTGGGCTTCCATGCGTATTTTCATGACCCCTAAATTTGAAACACACCTAGAGTCGGCGCGGAGCGCAGCAAAACTGTGCTTCGATGCCACCACCTCCTGGACTTGAAGGTGCTGTATTTTGTTTAGGGTTTAGGGTTTAGGGTACTGCCATCCTAGGTTCCTTATATGGGGGGTTTCCCAAAATTAGGGGTACCCAGTACCCTTTGGGGGTCCCCATAATAAGTATTAGAATTTTTGGGGGTCTATACTGGGGTCCCCCTATTTAGAGAGAATATCATATAATTAGGTGATACAGGTGCACTCTTGGGGAATCCATGAGATACCCTTGAGTGCGGGAGTTGTCCCTGAGATGTCCCTCTACATACAGTACATGCTCTATCTGACGTCTCAACGGCCGTACGTATCCACCCCACCGCGCCAGATAAACACGCAGGATTTCAATCTTTGCTCCAAAAAGGGAAAAGTGTTGTACTGGGACACCTCGATGGCAGTTAGGTTTGCAACCATCAGTGCGTGCGGTTTAGTGCCGCAGCCTAGCGTTTAGGGCTATGGCACATTCTGGCCGCTAACCCTTTATGACAGACACGCTCAGAAAACGTAATTACTCTTCTCAGAAGCTTCAGCAGAAGCCGGCTGCTAGTGAGGCTCCTGGGCTTGGTTTAGGGCGGCATCAGCACGCAGAGACACCAACAAGTCTTTCGATGTCTACTATCGGGCTCAGCTGAGCTTGCTTGGCAATCCCCAGGGCTCTAGTTACCCAATTACTGGGTTCTGGGTTCTATATATCCTAGAGTTACACAGCCCAGTAACCTATTGTATCAGGTAACTGGGAGCCCTAGGGAAGTTTGGGCTTTGGAAAGTGTGGACTTTCAATGCGTCTCTCAACATACACAACAACAACCCCCAAACGGTGCATTTAGCCACATTTTGTATATGATTGGGCCTCAAGGCAATTCTATGTGGGACCCTTTTGGGCGTTACGTACATAGAAGATAGCCACCCCCCTAACATCCATAAGCCATAAACCTCAACCCCAAACCCTGTGCTATATGCCTACATGGACACTTCGGGAATCCAGACTGGCCCAAGCCCCTGAACTTGTTTCTCCTTGTTTCCTTTGTCATGGTATTGACGAATCCTCTAATGACGAGCCCTACAGCGCTATGTAGGGGAAGACAAACAAAACTGGAAGTACCAGCTTAAGGGTTGAGTGTCTATAGGCTGATGATCGTCACGCCCGGCCACCCTGCATGAACATGCATAAACCATGTTCCCAGTAAACGTGATGGTACCGCATTGGGGGAGGGTGTTCATTATGGGAGGGGTTCCAGCCAGCATACAAAAGTGTGGAAAGAAAGAGAGGCACAAGCAGCAAAAGTAGTATGAGAACTCCTTTCAAGTTGCCGCTCCATTTAACCTCGAACCGCATACACCCGACATACTTGAATGGAAAGTACTTTGTAGTCTACATCAGAGCTCCAGGCTTCAAGGTTTAGCGTTTTCGGGCCCTTTCTACAGGGTTCAATGTCAGTTTTGGGGAGTTATGTGTTGGACTTCCCGTGATATAGTCCATGCAACCTCAAGCCTGTAACCCACTGTCACGGTCCTCTACATCCGTCAGCTGCGATTGGAGGGCATTGCTGTCATTTGGGTTTCCATACCCGTCATGCCTGCTGAAGATGAAAAGATCTGCGTTTCAGAGTGTAGGGGGCTTGGGGTGGCTGTTAAGGAACTTAAGTTAAGTTACCATATTGGGGAAACCCTATTCTTTACTATATATACCCATTAATATGGTAACATAATTTAAGTTCCTTAATAGCAACCCAGGGAGTTGGGATGGGATTCAGGGCCTTGGGTTGAAGCGTTTGGGGATAAGGCTTCGGGTATAGCCATTTTGCAGGGCTCGCGGCTTCGCTTTCATGTGATTTGAAGGTCTGCAGGAGTGGCGTGCTCTCTTTACCAGAGGTTCCCTTCACCAATACATCTGAAAAAACGAGCTAACCCTAAACCTACACAATGTGAGTGTTCGTGATTGATTGAATGCCTTTCCGGGGTCCTGGCTCAGGTCAAAGAATTTCACTTGAGGGATTCATAGCCTACAGGTATATACTTGCTTTGGGTCTCTTACACTGCTACCTTTGTCCGAATTCTTTCTCAAGTCCCTTGTGGAAAAGGCTTTGTTGGAAGAGACAGGTGAAGATTGTGGACATCTTGCACCACTGTGGGTCCTTGTTGATCTTGTAGGAATCACAGTACCTCCGGGACCCTCGGTGGTGCAAGGTTTCCTCCATCCACAGTTTGACTTGATTCTTCAATGTTCAGGGCAGCGCGTGTGCAACATCATACACTGCGCCAAACTAACTTGCGAGCAACAGCCTTCGTTTGTGGGGCAGACCTTATGCAGCATTTTCGTTCGGGCCCGCACAAAGTTGATCTCGTTTGCCTCATTTTCAAGATTGGGGCTTGCGTGCAAGATTCAAAACTGCGACCCGATATAGTACGGCCTCTCGTCCTTAGGTTACCCAAAGAGGGCCCCAAGTTTGGCAACCTCCCAGTCAACATCTGAAACTTCAATGCCACCCTAAACGGAATGTGGTACGATCACAAGCTTTTTTGTTCAAGAGGGTGCTTAAGGTTTAGGGTATACTTGAAGGGTCAGGGGAACGTAACAGGCTAATTACCAGGGCCACTATGTGGCTGAGAAGGGTTATCAGCCTACTTAGACCCTAAAACCTAAACTAAACCTCCAAGTGGTAATTTCCCAAGATAATGGGTACCCCAAAATAGACACCAATATACTATATAGTCCTTATTATAGGGACACCCAAAAAAGGTACACCTAATTTTGGGAAACGCCCAAGTAAATCGCAGCTCCTGAGGATGGACATGCGGCCGTCAGCTGCAATCCGAGCCAAAAAGTCTTGATGCCTTGGTTAGGGTTTAGGTTTTGAGGGTGTTAGGGTTCAGGGTATAGGGTTGAGGATTTTGCTACCCCCATACAAATATGGTGGGATTTGAAATTATGATCCCCCGTTGGACGCCCAATATGATATTCACTAATTTGCCTGAGGAACCCTATAGACTTTCACCAAAAAACACAACAACAATTCTATTTAAAATAAGGGCCCTACAGGACTGATGGTGTAGCCTCCCTAAACCTGAAACCCATAGGGTCCTGACTTTGGGGGTTGGGGTAACTAATTCGATCTTGAACCTCCCAAGGAATTGTGAAGGACATTCAGGGTTTAGGGCTTCGGGCATTGAACAAGGTTTCGGGGGGTAAAGTTGGCGTTGGGGCTGATTCCAGAGACAACAGTGCTTGCTCAACCTTTAGCCACCCACTAAAAACTGAATCGTTAGCTCCCGAATTATGAATAAGACGCCACTAACAAACATGTTTTCCCCAGAAGATTCTGAGTGTCCTCAATCGTCCGCTTTACTCTAAACCATACCCTGAGGGTCCATTTATGTAATTCTTCGGTGCTTGGGATTTTAGTGCGTTAGTTGTAGTACAGGTTTAGGGGCAGTACATTGTATATCATTATTGGGCATTTGGACCCCTAGGGTCCCTAAACCCTAAACCCTCCAAGATGCGGGCTGCGGGCCAGTCGGGTCTTGCGGACAAGAGCCTGAGATTTTGGGGGATTAGGGTTGGGCTTAAGGTTGCCAAAATACCCATAATCATAGGCATTATAGGGCGCGGCGCTCCCAGATTCCCACCACAATGGTCTTTTCCGGGGGTAGAGGTGGCAATTGGAGCTATTTGGGACATCTGGGAAACCCTAAACCCTAAAAACTAGACCCTAAACCCCCTAAACCCTGGTATGGTGGGTTAGGATATTGCGTCGTAGAGCTCAGGGATCCTCATCAGGACACAGTCCACGGGGCCTCTCCCGAAACCCTAAATCCTAAACCTTAAACCCTAAACCCAAAACCCTAAACTCTAAACCCTAATCCCTAAACCCTTGAACCCATCACAAGCTGAGAGTATAGGGTTCAGGGCTCAGGGTCTAGGAAGCCTGGACCCTAAGAGCCCTCTGAAGCTTGCAAGGGGGGTTGTAGGTTTTATATAAGAATATATAAGGATCTCTAGGGATATATAGGGTTGCATTAGGACTAGGATTTTTAGGGATATATACGGTTTGGGGTCTAGGGCTTGCCCAAAATAATGGGTGCCTGTTCGGGGCTCCCAAAACAAGGACTACAGTGTTCTGGGGTCTATATTGGGGTCCTCTCTTTTTTCTGGTCAACGTTCACGGGTCTGCCGCCTGGATGCGGGTTAAGGCAGAGTTGCACATCCTGAAAACGAATCCTTCTCAGAACGGGTCCACTCTGGGGTGCCCCAACTGCCAGGGATTGGAAAACCTCCTCCCCCAGCGGTGGGAGTTGGGCAGCAGACAAGGACTTTAACACAGCGTTTTAGCGATTTGGGCTCGCATGAAGCATATGTCACCACTTGAGCTACTGTCCAAACTCCTAGTATCCCTTAATAACCCCTATAGTAGTCCCCTATATAATCCCCTATATTACCCCCTGTAAGGAGTTTAGACTGTGGCTCACGTTATGCTGCCTCTACCAGCACGGACCAATTTTCCTTGGCTTCACAGCCAAAGGCCTGCGCTAGCACAAGATCTCCCAGGTCCCCAATTCTAAACCCTAAACCCAGGTAGAATGCCATACGCTCCAACTTGGGACTCTACTTCGTTGGAACTGTTGTCCGTCTCATCGGGCCATTTTCCGTCTGCATCAAGGGTTTGGGGTTTAAGGTTTCAAATTTAGGCTACAGGGTTTAGGACTTAGAGAGTAGGTGAATAACCCCTTTAAGCCACATAGTAGGCCTAGTTGCCCCCTTTTATTAACCTACTTACCAGGTTCCTCTGACCCTCCAAGTACTGGTTATTGGAAACATCTCTTTGCTCAGGACTTGCAGCCACTTCATCTGCACTGCTCCCTTGAAATTATAGTTTAGGGGGTCTCAAGTGGTGCAGGTGCAAGATTTGCTCCATCAAGCCCTAAACCCAAATCCTAAACATAAACCCTAAACCCTAAACCGTGTAGGTACCCCTTCGCCAAGATCGCAGCCACGCGGCATGCAG